TCCCATGCAGTCCAAGAACTTATTGGATAGTCTGTGCCCTGCAGTGTTATTTTCCCAACATATATCTGGATAGTTGAAGTCCCCCATCACCACCAAATCTTGGGCTTTGGATGATTTTGTTAGTTGTTTAAAAAAAGCCTCATCCACTTCTTCCACCTGGGTAGGTGGCCTGTTGTAGACTCCTAGCATAACATCACCTTTGTTTTTAACCCCTTTTAGCCTAACCCAGAGACTCACCATTTCCGTCTCCTATACCCACCTCCACCTCACTCCAAGTGTGTTCATTTTTAATGTATAAAGCAACACCTCCTCCCTTTTTTCCCTGTCTATCCTTCCTGAGCAAGCTGTACCCTTCTATACAAACATTCCAATCATGTGTATTATCCCACCAAGTTTCTGTGATGCCAACAATGTCATAGTTGTACTTATTTATTAGCACTTCCTGTTCTTCCTGCTTATTTCCCATACTTCTCACATTTGTATACAGGCATCTAAGATCCTGATTTGACTTTGCCTCCCAGTTTTGCCCTGACCCTCCTTTCTCTCTGCCATTGTAGCCCATGCTCCCTCCCATTTCCGACCCATCTCCCAGGTCTCCATGATCTCCACTTACCTGTGGGCTTTGCTCACCTGTCCCCATCAAACCTAGTTTAAAGCCCTCCTCACTAGGTTAGCCATTCTGTGTCCAAATAGGGTCTTCCTCCTCCTCGAAAGGTGGATGCCATCCCTGCTTAGCAGTCCTTCCTGGAATAGCACCCCATGGTCGAGGAAGCCAAAGCCCTCCTGGCAACACCATCCTCGCAGTCAGGCATTCACCTCCAGGATGCACCTGTCTCTGCACTTGATGCACTTTTACCAACTGCCCGGCTGTTTTACATCCTTTTCTTTTCTCTGCTTTTGTATTACAAAGTAGGAGAGGGGTCAGATTCTCAGCTTTGGAGACAGAAGTCTTCTGTCCAAAGAATGCTTGCAGCATGAACATCGGTAGAGTTAGGCCTCTTTCATTGCCCTGCCCAAATACCTGCAGGGACTGTTTGCAGTAGTTGCTGCCTGGGAAGATTTGCAGGGGCAATTCTGCAAGACATTTAAATAGGTTCCAAAATAATTCTTGAGGTCCATGCAACATACCCGTGTTCAATGCCGCATGTCTCTCTCATGGGCAGTACATGGACTGTGGTAATGTTGCAGCTGTGCTCTGTCTCGAGTACTGGAGACCCGCTTCATTGTAATGCCATCTAATCACCATCCTGTATTGCTCCAAAAGCTTACCTTTTAAAATAGTGTTACACTGCTCTTTGGTACCCAAGTGGTTGAAACCTGGCTGCTGTTAATTTGTCACTGCTTTCTCTTTAGTAGAGGGTGGGATACTTTCCCACTTCAATGACAACTCATTACTCCCTTGTCCCACAGGTAATATGGTGGAATGGTGTTTGCCACAAGACATTGATTTGGAAGGTGTTGAGTTCAAATCCATGGCAAGTGGGTCACACAAAATCCAGTCAGATTTCATGTGAGTATATTTGGGCTACGTTGCTCCTTCCCATCTGCCTTACCCACATACACATACACCCTCCCTTCCTTAGTCTAAAGCAGTAAAAATGAATACTGCTCGTTAGTTAAGCCTCCCCCCCCCCATTGACCTGCCAAGAAACTGATTTAAAATGAATTTTCCAGATATTTAACATGAACTCTATCAAATAGCTGCTATTTATATAGGTCCTAATTGTATAATGACTTCTTCTCTGGTGGACAGCATTTCCAGCAGGAGCAGACCTGGTTCCCGGAGATGAACTGACACTAATGCATGAGGGGCAAGCAAACAAGGAAGCAGAGTTGCTTATTTCTAGCTCAGTTAGGAACATCCATTGTGGGGGTTGAAGGCATGGGGAGGATGAAGCAAACTCTTTTCCAGATGGGGGGAAACAGCTTGGGAGGAAGGGGAGTTTTTTTATTTGTGTTTTCTTTTAAAAACACAAAAGGAAACATGTTTCAGAATACTTGGGTGTCTCCTTTAGATGTTGTGTAGTGATAATGTCCTGTCCCCATTTCATTTCCTCTTCCCTTCCTCGCAGGAATTATGTTCGCTCCGTTCCCTTTGTGCTCCTCCCCTCTCTGTTCTCAAGGTCACTGGGTTGTGGTGCCTCTCTTTGGCCAAGGAGAACTGACAGCCACTCCCTACAGAGCTCGCAGACTCCATTCTGCTTGGCCAGAGGAGGTGTTTCATCTGCAGTGCTTCCATCCTCTGCAAGCCTGAGAGATGGCTTGGGAGCCAAATTAGACAGCTAGTCTGAGTTACTTTATAAAATGTGGCGTGTTAATGTCATGTTTCGACAGAACAGTGAGGTTATGCTCCCCGGACCTGGCTTTCTACCCAAGCCTCTCTTCTGAAAATTTCCCCATCATTGCCAACACAGGTTCTCTTGCATCAGTGCTAGGAAAGGTAGAGCCTTCATTGATAAGACAGGGGTTGGAGGCTGCCAGCTCTTAATGCTGTGTAAAAGGTAGACAATGTTCTCAATCAATAGAATACATGGTTAAAGTGGCAGAAGCCAGTGGGCCTAGGAGCTGCATGGGAGATGGAGAGGTGGGGAACTGTTATTTTTCATGGCCCTTCCTAGGATCCTCTTGTTATACCTTGCCACTTATGTGCCTCTCTCCTTCCCTCTTTCTAGTTATTGTTTTTTGTTGCACATTTGTCCCCAGTTATTTCAGGAAAGGGCTCTGCTTCGGCCTGGCCTGCTTTGCAAACATGCCTGTGGAAAGTGAGTTAGAGCGCGGAGCCCGCATGAAGTCTGTGGGAATTCTCTCCCCTTCGTACACCCTGCTCTATAGATACATGCACTTCCTGGAGAACCAGGTCCGGTAAGTTGTTTGTGGGATACAGGATTGTCTGTGCACCTGTACCGAAGGGTCTGAATGTTGGCATGGATAGGTGGATGTGAAGATTTTGTAGGCTAAACTGACTATCCCATTGGGTTTCACTTAGAAGGTAATTTTCCCTGGATGTGCAGTAAGATTTTAGCTTTGAACTAAGACTTTAATATGTTGTCAGATTAGGACCATTTTCCTTGAAAGAGTACTTCCCCGTACACTTTTGTGTGAGAGTATATTACAAGAAATTATGGAGGAAAATTAAACTAGAATTAGTAATACAAAGCCACTTCTTTATGTAACTCTTTTTTAATTTAATCGGCTGGGGAGTCGCTTGTTTCAAAGATATTAGAAGAAAGTAAGTGTTTATTTCCTTCCCATCCCTTAACACATGCATTTGCTAAAGGTTTGGTGAAAATTTTTTAGAGCCAATAGTCATATTTATCTTGACACAGCTAAAGCATGTATGTAGCCTAAATCACATTCTCTAGTGCGATCAGAGCATGTTAAGGGAATTTTTGTAAGGGTAAAAGAAGCCTTGGGAAAACACCATTTTGTTCGAATTTGTCTCAAATGTTAAAAACCAGGATCAGTTCTATCATGCATGGCGCGTGAGAGCCCTGAGTGACCATCTTAGCCATGCCCTTGGATGCAGTGAAAGATACAGATGCCCATGAACTTGGAGGTACCCAAGGCGGAATCAGTGACTAAGAGACATGCATATTGCTGTGGGCTGGGGCCCAGAGGTCTGTAGACTTCAAAAATCTTTCTTACTTTGTCTTTTCTAGGCACCAGCTGGAGATGCCAGGGCACTATTCCCACCTAGAGGCATTTTATGATGACAAGAAGGGGGTTCTCTCTGCTGGCAAGGGTACCTCTACATCTCAGCCACCCATCCACTGGCTGCCCTCCATCCACAAATACATGTATCCAGAGATGAAGGTGAGACGAGCGCTATCCATGGACATGCAGTGCACTGATGCCCCTGATGGCTGTAGGACTAGCTAATGTGTGTATGGCATATCTCTTGTTAGCCAAGCTAGTGGACTTTTTTCTTTTTCAGCATACATGGGCTAAGCCTAAGTGGCACAAGATAGATGTATGTTGTTTAGACTGGAGATCACAGGCAACAACTCTCCATGGCTGCTCTTGCTCCCATGAACCTAGTTTCACAGGTGTGGTGGGTGGTGGCGTGTTGTGTGCACGTATATACCATTTGTGTCTGTATTCTTATTCCATATTTAGCATCTGCGTGTGTGTTCCTGTAGCATCTCATGAGCTGTTCTCTTCCCCTGGCCCTCAGATCACTCATCCTGCAGGCTGTATGTCTCAGTTCATTAAGTTCTTTGGAGAGCAGATCCTCATCCTCTGGAAGTTCGCTCTGCTACGCAAGCGCATTTTGATATTTTCACCCCCGCCGGTAGGAGTTGTCTGCTATAGAGGTACGGAATCAAGGTCAAAACTCTCCCACTTCTGCATTCCCACTCCTGGAGGACAGTGATGTTACCATGCATGCATGCACCCCTCCTAACTGATATGGAGGGATGCAGTGCCAACCTTCCAAGCCCACCTTTAGGGAATGGGATGGGCAGGGTTTTGCAAAGCAGCTCTGAGGCAACCCTTCTCCACTTGAGCATGCTTTTCCCAGGCCTCGTTGGCTCTAAGAGCTACAAATCTGAACTCTTGTCTCCATGGGGCAGCACCAGATGCTGTTGCCTGATCGTCATTCCACCAGCACTCTGGGTGTGGGGGGAGAGAATGTCTAACCATTCTGCAGGATCTTAAGTAAGAATTTAAATAACATGTTGCCCAGTGGGAGAGTCAGAGTGAAACGTAAGCATTTCAGTGCTGATCATATGCCACTCTGCTGTGCAATAAACAGTGTATGTGTAGGAGCACCGAGGGGCAAAGGAGGAAGAGAGAAACAAGGAGGGGGCATTGTAGGCCTAGGGAGAAGGAATATTGAGGACATTAAGTTATTCCTTTCTTTCACCTGCAGTGTATTGCTGTTGCTGCTTAGCCAATGTCTCACTGCCTGGCATTGGGGGGACCGTTCCAGAGTCCAAGCCTTTCTTCTATGTGAATGTGGCAGACATAGAAATGCTGGAGACTGAAGTGTCTTATGTGGCCTGTAAGTACAGCAGCCTCTTTCCTTCCCCTCAATCTGCTATCTGTAAGGGACCCAGGAGGTACCTGTTAAAACTTGCTGAAAAAATCTGATGGGGTGAGAGACTGAAATAAGAGAGGCATCTTAACATGCATGGGTATGACCTGGACCTGTTCTTACCCAAAACAACTGGATCGTAACGTGCCTGGGCATGGCTGTGTCTTGTTCTAATCAAACAGTGATACAAGATACAATGGCCACCCGACCAGGAAAGTAGTGCACCTCTCTGAAAATCTTCCTCTCCCTCTGGTCTCGGCAGGCACGACAGAAAAGATCTTTGAGGAGAAGCAAGATCTTTATGATGTGTATGTGGATAACCAGAATGTGAAAACACACCGCGAGCACCTGCAGCCGCTCCTGAAGATTAACAGTGCTGACAAGGAAAAATATCGGCGGCTCAATGACCAAAGGTAGTGGAGGAGACCTGAGTGATGGGACCAGTATGTCTATCTCTTCACTTTCTTTGAATTGTTTTGTCTTCCTTTTCCTAATTTCGCACTGCTCTGGTTCATCCTTTCCGATCCTCTCATTCAACACATCTGTGGTTTGTTTGTATTAAGCAAAGCCTATGGATCAGAGCACCTTTGTGCTGGATACTGTGCAAATACATGGTATTGGTCACTTCCCTTCCTTCTAAATAGATAAGGCTGATTGATAAAGGGAAACTGGCATGGAAGGGAAGTGGCTTGCCAGGGTCATGCAGCAAGTTGGTGGCAGAGCTGGGAATAGAACTCAGATCTCCTGACTCCCAGCCAAATGCTCATCCATAGGACTATTGCTGCCTATAAAGGTGAAGGCATTGTGTTCTGTGCTTTTTTACCTTCAATAAATGGTGATATCTTCAGTCACAATCCCGTTTGTTGCTGTTGCTCTGGAATTCATTGCTTGCACATGTTTGATTTGCCTCCCTTTTCCCAGGCAGATGTTGATGTACTCTCAGGAGGTGGATGAGGACTGCAATTCCTGTGAAGAGGACCTCTTTATCTTGTGAGTTACTCAGTGGTGAAGGGAGCAATCCCCAGGCTGTGGGGAGTCTTTGTAGTGTGGTTTTGCACAGAGGGACTGAGCTCCAGTGGCTGCCTAAGGATCAGTTGTTTTCTCACTGGTATCACGTCCTGCTGGCTTAGCTTGTACATAAAGAGATGTGTGGAAGGTATATGGGAACCAGTAAAGTGGGTTGAAAATGGAGATCTCAATTTTTTTTTTCTCTTCTCCAAAAACCTCAGCATCTTCTGAACTTTAGAATACCCAGGTAAGCTGGGGGAGGTTGAACAGCTTGTTGAGATGCAGACAAAGCTCTGGCTGTGGGGAGCAAACGGTGCGCTGCCTCTTCTGGTCAGCTGGCGACGTGGCAGTTTGAGTGGAGAGTTGGGCAATGCTTATGTGGTTCTTGCAGTCTGAGGTGGAGAAACTAATACTGGGTGGAAAAATAGAGAGACCTTGGCCCTTCCTATGGAGCCCTTACTCACATATGACTATTGTTCATGGCTGATGGCAGGAAGGGTATATACAGGAGAGTAACACGATGAAATTGTCTAAAGGAAAATTGATAGTGAATATTAGCGAGAACTTGCCATGAGTTAAATGTTTTGGACTATGAACAGCCTGCCCCAGCGCACAAGAGGAAACCTCATTGCTCAAGCTTAAAACTAGGGTATAGTTGGAGAAGGCATAGGACAAGGGAGCAGTAATGCAAGGAGATGCAGAAGGTAGATAGTTGAGCTTTCATCTCTAAGTTCTGTTCCTTGTTTGGTGTGAAAGATGAGTCATAGTTAGTCTGGTGGCTCAAGATCAGGTAATGGAGAAATCATTTGGGTGGGCTTAGTGGCTTGGTACTTTTGTCCATTAAGTTCCCCCACTGTGTTACGGGAGACACATGTTGGATTTCTGCGTTTGATCTCTTGCTCCCCACAGTAAATGTGTTTGGTCGAGGCAACCCTGAAAGCCTGTTGACTACTCAGTATTGACCTACCATAAAGGAAAACCTGTCTGATTCTCCGTGGGCAGGACTGTGCAATACGATAGTGGAAGGGAGGTGGGAATGTGTTTAAAATGGGTTAACTAGTCTTCGGGGATGGTGTAGAACATGTCTTCTTTTTTTCTTTTCAAACCCATCTCCTCTTCCCTGGTCCTCCTGCAGGTTTTTCATGGAGCAGAACAATCGGATATTTCAGACACTGATGGAGGTGTCAGCCAGTCAGGATAAGACCTTGACAGCTGACCATGCCCGGGTTATGGGCCTGGACCCACAAGGTGACCGAAGCTTCCTAATGGACCTGCTGGAAGTATACGGTATTGATGTCATGCTAGTCATTGATAACCCCTGCTGCACTTAAACTGAGATCAAGAGAGACTGGGAGCAGCGATGGCTTTTTAAAGACTATAGCCTGTTGCTTAAGAGCACCACTGGAACTCACCACACCATCACTGGAAGGATCTCGTTTATTTAATAACTTTATACAGAAAAGTATTTATAATTTTTAAAATGTGATTTTCCTTTTTCTGGGATTGACTACTCAAAGTTGGGTCTTTTTTTTCCTGATATTCATGGGACCAATGGCACCTTTTTACCAACCCTCACAATTGACACTGGCAACTGGTTTTTGGCCTAGTCTGGACTTCTGAGGGACTGGAGATTTCAGAGAAAGCACTTTTTCTCATGAAGACCAATGTGAAATCATGCACATTTGAGCCGTCAGGAGCTGACTGGAGAATGTTCCCTCCAACTGGGCATGGCTCAGTGTTCCCCATTCTTTTCAGTGTCCTCCACCCCTCCTGTGTGTCAATGGGGACAGTTAATTATGCAGGTTACACTCTATAAACCCCACTTACCCACCCTTTCAGCAGTTGAATTGGGAGTCCAACCTCCTCATCTCTGGCGACAGAAAAAGGTTACAACTAGATGCGTGACAAGATCACATGATCACTGTGCATTATGGGATGGCAGAAGGCACAGATTAACTTCCAGCATTTGAAAGGTGGCTTGATCTAGGACCCACCCTCCCCATTTTATGCCTGTAGCCCAGGAGAATAGAGATGCTCTTTACCTGCTGGTGCCTCCTAATTCTTCTATTAGCTGCATGGATCCTGCTTCGGTTAAAGATTTAAAACAGCAGGATGGTGGCCAGGTAATGGATAGCGAGCAGCCACCAGTATCACTCTGGCACCCAGCAGTTGCTGTGTCTTGCAAGCTCTTCTCGGCAGGACTGAGCACTGTTGGTAGAGCTGGGAAATGCTTGGCTCTGATTCATCATCAGCCTTTCCTTCATTGCTAACTTCTTTAACAAGATGGGCCGAGTCTTTCTGCAGGGTCCCCTACATAATATAGCTTCCTGTCTTGTTCTCCCAGTGCTATGAGTTTATAACCATTTGTGCTTAGCCCTGGCCTTACCACTCATAATGCTCATGTAGAACAGGGTCATCTTTTGTCAGGCAGCTGTCATTGGAACAGCCCACATGCTTTCAGTGAGAGGTGCAGGAGGTTGTAGCCCTGAGGCCTGGCTGGTGTTCTTGTTTGCAATGAATTCTCTTGCCGCTTGGCATCCTCTTCCAGTTCTGCTATCAGAGAGGTGGAAATGAAGATGTGTGTGGTGGCGGGGAAAGAGAGGGCATCTTAGTGACAGATTTTTCTTCCTGCCCCTTAGCTTTGATTCTTCGCAGGATAGGAACTTCACTCCTCAGTGAGGGATGTGGGCCAGTGACCATTGCCTGGATCATAGGGCCCGTTGCTCATTCCTGAGAAAGGCTGGTTGTGTTCAGGATGCCTTCCTTCCCTTGCAACACACAAGTGTCCCAGAAGTAACTACTTGCCTTGCAGCAACGGATGTTCTTACTGGCCCTCATTCACCAAGTCAGTATCATTGACTACCCTGTCCTGGTGATTTCAGTAGGCTTACTCACAAGCTTGAAGTTAGGCAAATGCGTAAGCACCTTGTTTGAATTGGGATTGTAGTGATCTAGCCTCCCTGTCCCCTACACTTATTTCAGCATCTTGGCACTCTTGTAAGCCGTGATGCAGCATTTTATGTTCTAGCTCTCTAGCTACTATGGAAGTGTTTCTTCCCATCAGCAGAGTGGACCCATCAGTCCCTCTTTGTTCTGGATTGTGTCCACCCTATGTTCTGCCCCAATTCCTTGTTTTTACCAATGTATTTATTTACCCCCCCCCCCTCAAAATCTCCTGCCCAGCGTCACTGATTAGCATCCCTGCACCTGTTGAAGTAAGAAGCAGGCACATTTCATCTCTCCATGGAGTTTCTCCACAGACATCTCAAATGCTTGCTTGAAATTCAGGTTTTCCCCCCTAATTCCAGGAGCAAAACACTTGATGTTGGGAGAAGGGGAGAAAAACCTGGCATAGCAAATCAAGGCGCTCCTAGTGCTATTTTTAACTAGTATAATACTTAAACTTGACAGCTTCCAAGCACTGGGTAAACATAGTGGAGTCTTTTTCTCTCTGCTTCTTCAGGGCTCTGACTACTTTCCTGAAGGAGAAAAATATGATGCTGCTTTTGTTATCTATCCGCTGCAGTTGCGTTGCATTTATTCTCCATACAGGCTATGGTTTGACAGACTGAAGAATTTGAACAGAGGTAGGTGCAACTAAAAGGCCTTCCGAGGATGGCTTTTTCTTGACTACTTTTTTGGGTTTTGCCTCTTTTCAAGCAGACTTGCCCAATGCAATCCACACTTGACCCTGTTCTCCCACCTCATTTCTGTTGGGGTCTATGCACTAGCCACCCCCACTCAGAGGGTTTTCTCTGCAAAGAGGGGAGGTATGGCAGACATGCATTAGTATTACTTGAGTAACTTATTTTAGGAATAAACAAAGGCATTGAAATGAACTCTCTAGGTCTTTAGCACTGATCATCTTTTGGGGGCCACTTCTGCTCCCACAAGTCAATAGTTCTGATTTAAGTAAGAGCAGGCATTTTTAGATAACACTGCAATCTGAGTAACACATTTCTGAGCTATAGCAAGGCTGTGTGTGTTTACATGTCAGAAAACCAGTTCCACAAGATAGCCTTGCCAGAACAGGGATAAAAGAGTAGAGCAAAGCAATTCTTCTACAGTAGCTGTGCTATCAGCTGTGTTACATCCCAGATGGATAACTAGGCTGCTCTCCTGCCTAATCTGATTTCTATAAATCTCTCTTAAAAGGCAGATGCTGCAGGAGAGGAGATGTAGCCAGACAAAAAGAGGATTCCTTGTTACCCTATTAGAGGGAAACTGCTGCCTAAATGAGGCAGTGCTGTGACTTACCTGCTTTTTGCTTTCTGAAGTAATTCCTCCTCATGCCTGGCTTCTTGGTAGTAAAAGCAATGTCAGTTATGCAGAATTAGGAGAGGTATAGAACCCAACAGTGTGATATAGAGGGATTGGTTAAGAATTGCTAAGGAAGCCATTACTGGTTTCTGCCTTTGAATACAAAGCATTATTGTGCATATTTCCTCCTAGTGTAACAGGCCATGTCAATCTGAATTCATCCCATCTTCCTTCAACATTTGAGAATTTCTGCAACCCTTTATCATGCTTGGGCATTCTGGGAGAGGTGATGTTTTTTTAAACTCAGTGCAGCTAGGTGGTCTTGGTGAAGGAGTGCATTTTGGGGCAGGGGCAGAAGAGGATAATTAAGTCAACCTTGTTTGTTGATTGATTTCATTAAAAAGAAGGCAAGATGTGACTGTCATTTTGTCATTGGGGTGCTAACTGGAAAAAGATCTTTTGAAAATACTTTGCCTTTTAAATGGTGCCTTTAGGTATTTCAATGTGACTATGGCTGTTAAGATTTGTAGTTGTATGCCATCTGATCCCCACACAATAATCACCTGACTGCGGTAATGTCACACATTAGAAAGATTTCCAATCTCTTAGGAACAGCAGCCCCTGCTCACTTCTGTGCTAAAAAGGAGAGAGCAACAACCTTTCCATCAAACTACAGTGGCATCCTCATCTTTAATTGAAATGGGTCTGTATGTAATGACCTAGGTCTGAGAGTCCCTCCGCAGGGGGAAGAGAGAAGGGAAAGTGAAAGGTCATTAAATTTCCACCAGTTCTCCAAACTTTGTATTACTCACAATTACTGAAGTACTTATTTGTACTACAGGACTGTAACAGCCTAGGGGAAATTCAGGCTTTACAGACAGTAGTAGGGCCAGGATTTCATAGAATTGTAGGATTGGACTGGAGGGAATCCTAGTCCGTCCCCTGCGCTCACAGCAGGACTAAGTATTATATAGACCATCCCTGACAGATGTTTATCTAATCTGCTCTTAAAAAATCTCCAGTGATGAAGAGTCCACAACCTCCCAAGGCAATATATTCCAGTGCTAAACCACCCTGATGGATATGAAGTTTTTCCTAATGTCTACCCTTAAACTGCCCTTGTTACAATTTAAGCCCATTGCTTCCTATCCTATCATCAGAAGTTTTTTTTTCTCCTTCCTTTTTGTAACAGCCTTTTACATATCTCCTCTCAAATTAAACAGGTATCAGTCTTTTACAGACTTATCTCCTCAGTCAACTGCTCAAATATTTTAGGATGAATTTAATAAGATCACTTGAAGACATTTTTCATTTGTTCTTTCTCTATTTTAACCTTTCATCCTACCTCATTTTCACTGGCATTGGCTATGTTAGGCATCCAATTGCTGCTAACCTTTTTGGTGAAAACGGTCATTTAATGCTTCTGCCACTTCCACATTTTCTGTTACTAAACTCCCTCTCCACCCCCAACTGAATAATAGACCTACACTTGCTTCTAATGTATTTGTAGAATGTCATCTTGTTACCCTTTGTCTATAGTTAGTTCTTGTCCTGTGCCTTGGCCCTTCTAATCTTAGCCCTATATACAATGTTTCTTACCATTCTTTGGAATTTGACCTGGTTTCCACTTGTTATAGCCCGAACCCCAGGTTATACCAGGGTGGGCTCTTGCCATGCTTCTAATCTTTCCTATGCAGTGGATCGTGTGCTCTTGTGCCATTAATAATGTCTCTGAAAAACTGCTCTCACTCTCTTGAAACATTTTTCCCCTTAGACTTGCTTCCCATGGGATCTTACCTATTAACTCCATGAGTTTGCTAAAGTCTGCCTCCTTGAAATCCATTCCCTATATTGCGCTGTTTTTCCTTCTACCCTTCCTTCAAATCATGAACTCTGCCCTTGTGTGATCATTTTCACCTAAGCTGCCTTTCAATCAGATCTTGAACAGCCTTTCCCCTAGTGGCCTATGTGTCTGTTCCACAGGGCTGATAGTCAGAAAGGGGTACCTTTACCCTATTTTACAGCTAGGACACTGAGTCTTTCTGTAAGTGGTGTGGCTATGGTCAGCCAGGAAGTTGGAACTAAGTGAAGTTCTCCCAAATCCCAGGCTTGCATCCTAACCACTGGGCCACTACTCCTCTGTGCTCTCTTAAGGGAGACACAGATCTAGCAAAACTCTGCAGGGGGGTTTCAGCCAGTTTCCTTCTTTACTAAACCATATTGCTCTAACCGTCCACTTGGTAGACAGGTGAATTCTGCTCCCCCGGAGGATGGCTGAAGTTATTCCTTTACTATTCGAGTAACTGAAGTGGAATGTGGCTTCCAGCACGACCATTGAGCTGCAATGGTGCAAGCTGTACGGTTTCAGTGACACTTTTATTTCTCAGTAAAAAGAGCAGCACAGGCTTTTAAACGTTGAATTGTTTCCACAGAGCTGAACCTGTCTGAGGGGCCAAGAGGAGCTGGTACATTACAACAGCAGGGTTTCATCTGTTTGTTTTTCAACTATTAAAGCTCACATTTTAACATTACTTTGTTCTTGTTTTTCTAGCCCTGGACTATACTTACTTATTACTGTTTCATGAGGAAAGCAGAGGCCAGAAGCCTTTAAGTTCACTGACTGCTGAAACCAAACTATTGCCTGTTTGTATAACGGGGGGTGGTGAATTGAGCAACTGAGGTGGCCCCATAAGTGACCACACATGCATAGCATTTTGTGCAACAGAGAAGAAAAGGGATAGCAAAACACCAGAACAAAATACCCCCAGGTAGTCTTTCCTCATACCAGGCTTCCTAATGATTTTTCAAAGCTGGTGGCAGGAGGAAGTAGTGGTGCACATTCAAGAGAACAATGTTAACTTGGAGCCCACACTGAGCAAAAAACCCTCTTAGCAGGGCTAGTTACACTGAAAAGCACAGTGTTGCAGAAATGATAAAGGTGGCAATATCAACAGCATCATTCAGGCAGGGATGGATTACCTACCTAGGACTGAGTTTACTCAGTTGATAGGTCCAGGCCCCACAAAATACATAAGCAGGTCATTACTCCTTTTTATATGCTATCCTAATGCAAGAACAAAAGGAGTCCTGTTTAGCAAGCAACATACCTAAACAGGCTCAAAGGCCTAATGTTATATGGTGTTGTTAACTAGTAGAATTCTGTGGTGCTAAATATTTTTGACAATCTAAAAAATAAATGTTCACACGCTGAAGCCAACCAGCAAAGGGTTTGTTTTGCAGCCATAGTCTGCAACTATGAATGGAACAAAATCCTCTAAGTTTGGGGATGAGCTCCAGTCATAAGTTCTCCTTATGGAAGATTTTTAGTATCTGACGTTGCAATTTTATTGTAACAGTATTTCCCCCACTTCAATAGCATAAGCTGAGGTCACGAGGAATATCTCTTGCCCACCGATACAGCAAGACAATATGTAGGTTTTTTGTAAGTTTTATATGCCTGTCCCGGGAGCCTCCACCACTGATAAAAGGAGATGGGAGACCAGACTAGCTGATCCACATATCTGTTCGTGTGTAGCAGTTCCTAAATTTCATAGGCTCCCATTTATCACAGCAGCTTGTTCATAGTTTTTTCATAAATCCCAGAATTCCCTGCTCTAAACACAAGTACGAAAGATGGCTCCAAATTCTCAAAATCACAGACATGTATTTCTTTTCACTTTAGTACAGACTTGCAGTAGAATGGTAAGTTCAGTCTTACAGCACTCACCTGTAGCACTGTAAATGGAACAGTGATGGCTTCTTTAAAAAAAGACACCACTAACTTTAATCTGTTTCTCAGAGTCAAATTTATGCATTTTACCTCTTCGCTCCATGCCAAAGCAGCCATTCCCACCAGGGTGCCATGGCCTTGGGTATTTACCAGCCAAGTAACTAATGACCAGAGGAGGTTAATCTGGTTAGCACACTCAGGAATGACCCCAAAGATCCTGATGAGGTTGGTCCTTCTGATGTGACTTCTCACTGCACTGCTGGCTGGAACATCTGTTCTCTCCTTCTAGGGTCACAGAAGAATTGGAGCTTCCGAGGTAACAGCTTCACTTCCACAGGCATGGCCTCATACTCCTCACTGTCTATGCCAAAGGAGCCCTCAGTGCCCTGTGTAGAATCAAACGCAAGTCAAACTGTGGTGCTGTAACAGTGGTACCTGGGCCCACTTATGTCTCCCCTTAAGAGTATAGTTGGGTTCTCTACGGGGCCTGAGTCAAGCTAAACCCCTCTGCCTTCCAGCCTGTTTAGTCTCACCTGTACACAAAGAACTGATGAGCACATAATATATTAACCAACTGCCATTTAAAATACCTCATTTAGTACTAATTGGCAGTTAGGCAGTAACTTAAATGTTAGATCACCTTAAAGCTCTGCCCTATATAGATTTAAGGATTCTTTGCCCTTGGAATTACTACTTCCAGTTTGGCTGAGTTTTCTGGACATGGAGTGGAAACAGTGTTTATATGATAAATGCTACCTCACCAACACCTCTTGGTATTTTTAATTGTATTCATTCACACCCATAAGTCTCCTCAGTGCAGCACAGCTCTTTACTATTACACTGACAAGCAGTGGAGAAATGTGAAATGCTAACTTTGAGGCTGGAAAATAAATTTAAGGGACAGACGTTTTTGGTTCAAAACAATCCCGCTCACACCTATGTTTTAACACTGACACACAAAATCACAAACTATCAATGCCAGTCCATCAACATGGTAAGGGGTTTACTATTTTGTACATAAAGCATATGCTTGCCTTCTGTTACTAAGGCCTCATCAGCAGTTAGAGAGTTTGTCTTGTTAACCGACCCCCTATTTATACTTCACTGTATCCACGCTTGAGCTGGACAGTCTTTTCATGTATTTTTAAAACCACAGGTTGTGATGTCAAAGCCACATGTGAACAAGGATGCTGGCCAATGAAAACATTCATTATTCAGTCTGGTTGTTTGGGTGAGGAATTTACCAGTAGAGCAGAGTGCCAAAGATTCTCTCAACTCCTGGGATGGGCAACTCTGCCAGGGTACGGACCTTATTCTCCACAAAGCAGATGAGGTCTCTAAAGAGGATTATAATAGCTAAAGATGTGGACAATCTTCTAGATCAACTGCAAATTCAGAGTTTAGTCTTCTCAATAAGATGTATTGGGATGTTAAACCCAAACTAACATCTACCCTGCTGCCTTACTTTTAGGAAGCAATTAAAAATCAGTTTGCTCAAACAATTCATCAGTGTAAGAGCTGCCAACTTATCTAAGGTTTTGGGATTAATATTGGTAGAGCCTTTTTGACTATTATTTCCCTCCTGGCCTCAGCACAGTTAGCAGGGATCTTCATAATCCCACACTGCTGCTCTGCATCTTTTCACAGAACTCTTTCTGGACTGGTAGTCTAAAGATTTCAGTGCGTAGAGCTTTGCCAGCAGATGGGATGTGCAGACACCAAGATGTGAGCCCTAGCTGGAGGCCTTTTCCTGTACTCACACTGCTAATGTGTTGAAGCTTTTTACTGGCTGGATGGACAGGTCTGGAGCTGGATCTCACAGTTCCTACATTAGTTAGAAGACAGGTATAGTAGTGATACCCGACTCCCTACTTTGGGACCCCATTTGACTGAGTTGCTGCACTGGAGCAATGAGGATAGCGTGACTGTCTGTCAATGCTGGGAGACAAGATTTCTTAGTAAGTTGCACTGAGAAACAAGTTACTCAGCCTTCCATAATTCAGGCTTCTCACCTCTGGAAGCTGCAGGATGCATCTGCTGGCTTGGACACACTGACTTCCTTCAAGACACAACTGGGGGTCACACATCTTTTGACTCCTATTCAAATCAAACAAGGAAAAAGAAATATTAGCTTCCAACAGAAGCAACCATGCTTAGGGGCACAAGACATATAGAGGGTCATCAAGTGCTTATTAATGTCATTTTCTCCTTTCGAAAGAAAATATGAACGCCTTTGTGGCTGCAGTCATGTGGGACAGTTAGTGCTCCCTGAAGGCAGATCTTGCTTTCTGCCACATAACTGTCAATGTACCTCACTGCTGACCTTTGTTCTGAGTTTGTCCTGAGCAGCATCTGTCCACTGTACTATTTCATAGGATACATTTGTGATGCAGCTCTGCAGGTAAGTGGGCATCATTCCTGCAGTGTATTGTTCCAGTCAGTAAATAGTTACGTGACTGAATACAGAAACTAGACTCAGATGTACTGGGGGGTTTTAAGCTAGTGTTTGACAAAATCTCTTCTGGCTTTATCACCAGCATAACATAAAACGAAGGTTGCTCCATTAGTTTCAATCCTGTTTGGAGGTACAAAACCCATTTATTTTACCTAGTCTAAATAAAATGTGCACTTGCGCAGACTTAATGGCTACATCTAGACTGGCATGATTTTCCGGAAATGCTTTTAACAGAAAAGTTTTCCGTTAAAAGCATTTTCAGAAAAGAGCATCTAGATTGGCACGGACGTTTTTCCGCAAAAGCACTTTTTGTGGAAAAGCGTCCATGGCCAATCTAGACGCGCTTTTGTGCAAAAAATCCCCGATCGCCATCTTCGCGATCGGGGCTTTTTTACGGAAAACAAATCTGAGCTGTCTACACTGGCCCTTTTGCGCAAAACTTTTGCGCAAAAGGGACTTTTGCTCGAACGGGAGCAGCATAGTATTTCTGCAAAAAGCACTGATTTCTTACAGAAGGAAGTCAGTGCTTTTGCGGAAATTCAAGTGGCCAGTGTAGACAGCTGGCAAGTTTTTCCGGAAAAGGGGCTGATTTTCCGGAAAAACTGGCCAATCTAGACACAGCCAATTAGTCTGTCTCTTCTGTATTTACATGTCCTCCATTAGCCTTAGTATGCGAGCACCTCAATCTTGAATGTCTTTATGTGGCTACAGTGTGGTTAGGGAAGTACTATCATCCCCACTGTACACATGGGCAATGGAGACACAGAAAGGTTAAGCAACTTGCCCAGGAAGTTTGTGGCAGAGCAGGGACATGAATGCAGGTCTCCCCATCCCAGGCTAGCACACTGCCCTTTGGGTTCATCCTTCCTCTATAACTGGCACAAATAATACTCTGACATATTCAGATCCTTTTGTATTGTTCATTTATCAAGCATTAAGCTCATCCCTTAAGTCCCATTTACTTATGTGCTCTTTAGAGAGCCTCAGTGGCACCCAGGCCTTTTGCTGGCCCCCTGTACAAGAGTGAATTACCCCAAACTCCAAAAGAGAACGGATGATTGCATGCCGCCTCCTGTTCCCACATGTCACAGACAGGTAGGTAAACAGAAAAACACAGTCCCAACCTTCATTAGTCTGTGGCTTTCAAGATGCAGACCAGAATAATCATGGCTAATTCCACTGAAACTGGTGGATTTGCTACAGTATTATCTGTTCAATATTTTTTATTAGGTACAAAAAGTGTAACAAGCTGATAAGAAAGAAAGAGGAGTTCTTCAAACATCTCTCAATAATGGAGTCATACAAATACAGAATCAGGAAAGCGTCCCCAAAAGAATTACGTGATT